CGTGTAGGTGCCGTATTAGGTGCTTATACTCATGAAGGTCTTTGAGGTTTTCTTTGAGGTGATCCGTGCACTATTTCGTTGGGCTCGATAGTTCTGTCTTGGAAGATGTTCCCTAGTTCTTATTGTTGTTCAGTACACTTACTTGGAGTATCCTTGGTAAGGTACGGGATTTCATGAATTCGTGTTGATATGGTCTTGGACCTCTGGTGGGCAATATCTCACCGTACTTTATCCTTTGATACCATAGGATTCCTCTGAGATTCTTGCTGACACGTTATGGGTGTACACCTTTCTAAACCATTATGAAAAAGTTTCAAAACGCGCCTTGCCTGCTTTGACTACCTGTGCTGCAAATCCCTGCACCATTTTTACCAGAAGAATTTTTATTGTTGTGATTTGGCAAGTTATGGTATTGTGATATTTTCCTAATGTAGGTTCCGGCATTGGCTAGTTATGTTCCAACAACTGCGTTGAAAATGTTAGCAATAGAAATTGTAAAAATGGCTTTCATATTTTCCTTTAGGGCATGTTTGATATCATTTCCCTTTCTGGTGCACTTACATATGCAAAAGATGGCGGTACAGTTTCAAGAACTGGAGGACTAGGTATATGCCTTTCTGGTGTGGATGGCCGTATTGTAGGTGGTGGTGTTGAGGGACCTTTAATTGCTGCTGGTCCTGTTCAGGTACTGCATTCACTTTATCCTGCCATATTAACCATATTATTCTACGAGAAATTGAATCCTGCCAATTAGCAGGTGATTGCAGGCTCCTTTTTGATAGATATTGACAGGAACTTCAGTGCCTCTAGAAAAGAAGATGATTGCACAAACAAACTATCAACTGAAGCAGCAGCCCGCGCGACATTTCCCTCTTTTGTTCACGTGGAATCGAACTTAGGGTCTCTTAGAAGGGTAACTTCATCTCGTGGAAGTGAAAATTATCAACGCATGGGTGAAAGTTATCACTTGTTTCCCTCACGGCCCCTGTTTCCCTCACCTGACTGGGACGGTATGTACTGTCTTGTTTGTTGCTCAATTGCATCATGCATCCTTGGTGTACTCCTGCAGGATAGGGGAGTTTTGGAAACTAATGTTATCATGCACGTTTGAATTAAGCCTGCCGGATGAAGCATAGCTAGTCAATAAAATAAATTGCATGACATCTTTAAAACACTTAGTTTAATGTTTGTAGCACTAGAAAATAGGAAGATTTACATGCATACCACTCAATTCCCATGTATTTGCATATCTAACACCTAAACTTTAATTTTAACATATATACCACCTTTCCTTAGCATGACCTATGCATGAAAAGGTATATTTCGCTTTTTTAAAATTTAAAAAGTTTTGTTTTATATTTTTTTTTTAATTTTTTTTTTTTATGTGATACGAAAGATTTGATTAGTATAATGATATAAAATAAAGTGTACATGTTAGAGATGTAAATAATCTGGAATTGGGTGGTATATATGTAAAAGCCCCTGGCAAATATCGATGCGGTCTGGATTTTACTGCTTTTCTTCAGCATTCCTATGTATTCATAAAAATAATTTGACTATAGAATCCTAGACTAAGCTTTCTAACCCGTATTATTTTTTGTAATCATTCTTTGCTCTATGCGACTTATGCAGGGCCAGCAAATCCGTAGAACTACCGGATTATGCCAATCTTTGGATGACGAAGATACTCAGGACTAGTGTTTGTTTGCTTTTTGTAGTCTTGCATCTTTTGAAATCCATTAGCTTGATTTTGCCTAATGAAGGCTAAATGTACATAGAAAGCCTCGTTTTGCCTTATCAAATTGTAGCCCGGTCTTTCTATGTAGCAATCTAATTGTGCAGGTGTTTTTATCCTTTTGTTGTGCTGAACTGCTAATTGCAGCTATTTAATAACAACACTTAATTTTGATGCTCTTCTTTGTGAGAGCAATATATTTTTTTGCATGCTGTAATTTTTGGGATCATACAGGAATAACCATGGATGGCAACTACATATTTGAGGCGACTTAAATGGATGGAATCATTTTTATTTGATTTGTTGAATGGAATTAATGACAAAAATAGCTCAACATAATGTTATGGATGTAAAATTAGATTTGGTGTGTTGCATTGAGTCCAAGGATAATTTGACTGCTTCAGTTTAAGGTAAAACAATCTCAAACTGGTTGAATTGATCAATTCAAAGCTGGACTGACCCAAGACCAAATGGAGTGAGATGGCTTAAAGGAGCTTGTATATTATCCGTGTAGCAAAGATGTCATTGCCACTAGCATTCAGTAAGCCATAATGACATCAAACTGTGCTTTTAGCCTGTTTGGTACTACGCCATGCTGGAGGATCCTTTTTTTCTCCTGCTGTTTTAGTCTTGCAGTTATTTTTTGTCAGATTTTTATCTCTAGACATTCTTTCTACTGAGAGGAGTTAATCCACATAATCATGTTGAAATTATGACACATTTTTAGTCAATTAATTAAAGAAATGGGGAATCTTGTACTTTGTTTCTATAGTTTATGTGGAGTAAACTTTGATTTGCATTACAAATTAGCTAGCAAGATCATTATTTCTTACATCAATTTAAGTATGTTTCATAAATCACTATCATCAATTATGGGTAACACCATAAAATTATTGTTAATCACTTGATGAACCTTGGCGGGGTTGTGTTATCACAATAGCCACATAATTGTATTAGTTGTGAACGATATTTAGAAATTTATTGTATGGTGCATGGCTTGCATGTACAATTCAATTGAGTGCAAAAGCGATATAAAGTGGTTGTTTTAAATGTTAACAATAAGAATATTTCAAAATTAGGGTAACATAAATGGTGAGTCAGATCAATTGTCTCTACGGTTGTGAAATTCTCTTAGGTGTTGAGAAATTGCTACTATCATGAATATGATTTTTCTCTCAAATAGGATTACATGTATGATCATGTAGTGCATGCGTGCCATTCTACTAGAGTCATGTGTGCACTCTTTGTGGGACCACGTATGTTTATGTTTGGTTAAATTTGTCATCATATCCTGAGTAACCATTTGCATTGCTTTGTCATACCTAGAGCTTGGAGAGTTTTGATTAACCATAACTTGCATTAATTAAAGAGGAGAGCATAACATGTCACGGGACTTGTGTGACATGCAACACCAAGGGAAAGGCTTAGAACCATAACTAGGGTTAAGGTATTTAAGCGGCTATTGAGGAGCAATAAATTTTTTGGAGAATTTTTTTAGAGCGAGTGCTATGAAGAAGCCAAACACCATGAATGACAAAATGTCAAGAATAATTTTCACTTTGGGCGAGTCTAAGGGCCCGTTTGGGGCAGCTTATAGGTGCGGCGGCGTTTTCAAAACACCTGTGTGTTTGTTTCGCGCGTTTGTACCGCGTATTTGAAAACCGTGTTTCTGATTTTATATTACACGTCGATCGCCCCTCTATCCCCGCGATCCACGTTTTCCATCCTAGGTTTTACCATGGTGCCCTCGGCCGAAGTCGCTCCTCTCCTCTTTCGTTCGTTCGGCGCTCCTCTCCGTCTCCTTGGCCGAAGTCGCTCCGCAGGTAAGGTATCCTCCCTCCTCCCTCCGGTCTCCTCCCTCCGCTCTTCTCGTCCTTCTCCTCTTTTGTTTCTCCCTTCGGTCCTCCCTCCACTGCTTACAGTTCTTCTGTGGAAACTATCAGTGAATATGCAAGGTTGATCGGTGAATATGGAGTAGATCCAGTAGTTTTCGGTGAATGTGGAGTTGAATATGGAGTTGAATGTGGGGGAAATGTAGATCTATGATTTCAACTTTGTAGATGTAGATCTGTTATTTTTAACTTTGTAGATGTGAATGTGGTGTTGAATATGGAGCTGAAATGTAGATGTAGATCTAGTGATGTAGATCTGTGATTTCAACTTTGTAGATGTGAATGTGGAGTTGAATATGGAGCTGAAACCTCATGGCTTGCTGTTTTTTTCCCTTGGGGAAACTGAAACCTTCCCAATTGGACAATTATGCCATATTTTGTTTAAAGAGTCAAGAAATTTGCATAGAATCATTGATTACCTTTTTTATAGGTCTTTGATGTGTAAATACATAATAATTGTGTGGTTTATATGCAAATGCTTATAAAAATTTCTCTTGTGTTTAGCGGGGGTCAATGGGTTTATTAGCAATTGAAGGTTTACAACTTCACATTTTTTGGTATTACAAATGCTATTTAAGTTGTATTTGGTCTTTAGGTCTTTTGGTCTTCCTATTAATTTTGATTCTTGTTCAATATCTTTTTTTTTTCATGTCATTATTTTGCTGTGTTGTGAAAGATAAAACTCGTAATTTTCTATTTGATTTTCCGACCTTCACCTTGTTTCTGTACATGTCTACAGTTCAATGGAAAAGTAGTTTCTTCTTTGAATGTTAAGCTTTATTGTTTCTTTAGCATATAATGCTTATTTGGTTATGTTTGGAAAATTGCAGTATTACAAGAATTGTCTACAACATTGAGCACTGTAATCCCTAAGAGATCTTCTCATTTACCAAAATTTCATTTAGTAATAATATATCCATACCTCAAATATTTAGATTTCATTGTTTTTGGCACATCCTATCGTATTTGTAGGTATTAAATGCCAATGGGTAGGATCTAAGCATGTTACACTGAAGGGAAATGAAGAGATACTGCTCATTATTGTGTTTTACGGATATATGCTGATAATTAAAATTTTTTTCATTCGTATGCACTAATTCAGACTAAAATTTACTGTGAATGAAATTTTCACAGTAAATTACTTTCTTTGGGTGTGTTATTACTGCGATTGAAATTTTCATGCATGCCATGGAATTCTTATACATTTACATATGTAACACGTAAACTTTCATTTGTTCATATATGCTAGCCCCTATATGATGAAGTTGTTGTTAAATCTATAAATGCATAGGAACTTAAATGTTGAGTATGTAAATCCTCTTTTTCCTTTAAATATGAACATTTGCACTACTTGGTCGGGGAATCATAAAGGCATCGAATTGTTGAGAAATGTTTGGACACCACTGTGTTATAAGCATGGACATCAAATTTTGGGTTGTTGAATCAGACCTTTGATCTTAAAACTCTCTTCTCATTTTTATGTGCTTTGGAGATGTCACTATTTAGGAGCTTTGAGTTGATTCTTGTCCTACTTTGTTCGGGACATAGGTTTATTGTGAGGGAGGATTATCAATCTTCAATACATGCAATACAGATGTATGAATTGCAGCTTATATGTTTAAATGACTCACTTCAAAAGAGGCATAGTAGAATAATTATTATGCTTTCCTTAAAAAAAAAATGTTATTGTACATACGATTTTTCTCTTGAGCACCTTTATATTTATGCTATCTTGTTTAACTCATAGTCAAAATGAGTAAATCTAAGGAATCTGGAACATCGGCAATGTGGGATAAAGAAACCACGTTGACTTTTTATGATCTTTGTCTGAGGGAAGTTGAGTCCGGTAAATAGACCACTTTTTTCAATAAAGAAGGTTGGCATAATATAACCGTTAAATTCAAAGAACTCACCAGGAGGGATTACGATCGGATGAAACTTAAGAATAAATGGGATCAATTAAAAAAGAATGGAAAATATGGAAAGAACTCAAAAGAGGATCAACAGGATTTGGTTGGGATCCAATTAAACAGACAATAGATGCACCTGAAGAATGGTGGGCTCAGAAGTTAGAGGTAAATACATACCTATATTTGTTTTTTGGATTGATTGCATCTTCCTGAAGATTTTTACTAATGATTTACATATTATATTCTAGGTGGTTCCAGAAGCAAAAAAGTTCAAACTTAGCAGCATTGATCCGGTATTAGAGGAAAAGTTGGATGGCATGTTCATAGGTGTTGTTGCCACCGAAACTCATGTTTTCACCCCAATTAGCCAGAACTTTGATGGTTTAACACATGACATGGCATCCGAGCACATAGCTCACTCCGGAGAAGGTCCCAGCCAAATCCATACAAAAGTTCAATCAACCGGTGGGACAAAGCGTCCCAGAGTAGTTAAAAAGAAAATTGGAGCCGCATTTGTCAAGAGGTTCCATAGAGACGATTCTTGAATACTGCAAACCGAAGACTGCATCACCACCAACACCAATAACAAACAACTACTCAATTCAGGAGTGCCTTAAAATTCTAAATACATATCCCGGTGTTAAGGAAGATGAACCCATGTATTTAAAATACGTGAAGTTGCTAGGGAATTCCACTCTCAGGCAATTCTTCGCAAATTTGGGCCCAGAATTCCGTCTTTCTTTCCTCCGCTCTTTTATGAATGACTGATGTTGGTTGACAGTTGTTTTTATTTTAGAACCAGTAATTGTAATAATTATGTGATGGACTATTTGTTTATATGTCTTCTTTTAACTTTATGTCATTGTTTGTGTCGTTGCAATTTATGTCTTCGTTTAACTCTCACACTGTAGTATCTTTTCCTAATACTTCAAGTTAACGTTATACATTTTTAAAAATATATCATTTACCACATTTTGTAGAATGGATGAAGAACAACTAAGAACCGCATAGTCGTTGTCGCCCTCATCTTCCTACACTACTACTATCACACTTACGTTGACCGAACCCCTTGTATGACATCAAGTCAGATTGGGGATAAATGGGTTGGAGAGTTATTACATGGAGACCCGATAAGGTTTGCAAACATATTTCGTATGATCAAGGTGATAGTTCTCGACCTGTTTAATGAGCTTCGGGACCTTCATCTATTACACGGGTCATCAAGAACAACTTCCAGAGAGGTATTGGCAATTACCTTGTATATATTATCCCAAAATGAATCTATTAGAGGAGCTATGGAGCGATTCCAACATTCCTCGGAAACCATTAGTAGATATTTCTCCGTGGGTTTGAATGCGCTGGTGAGTCTGACATACAAGATAATAAAGCCCGATGATCCAACATTTCAGACCATTCCCACACAAATTACAAATGACCCTCGATACATGCCCTTCTTCAACGTAAGTGCCCAACACAATATTCAATATAAATAAAAAGCGTATATTGATTTTGAATGGTTTTTGGGTACTTTACGCGACACAGGACTGTATTGGAGCTATTGATGGAACACACGTCGATGCATGCTTGCCTCCTGCAGAGAAAGTCACTTACATCGGACGGTGTGGATCTCCAACACAAAACATCATGGCCGTGTGTGATTTCAATATGTGTTTTACTTTCGTGATGGCTGGATGCGAAGTTAGCGCACACGATAGCCTTATTTTCAAGTTTGCTACTAGGAACCTAGAATATGAGTTCCTTTACCCTCCTCCTGGTACGCATATTTGGGACATTAATATTGTGTTCTTGGGCCAACATTTATAACTAACATCACGCAACAAATAAGTACTACTTGCTCGATGCCGGATATCCCTTACAAAGGGGGTTTCTTAAGCGGTATCCAGATACAAAGTATCACATCCCAGATTTTGAAAGGTCCAATGGTGTAGCACGCAGGAAAAAGAATTATTCAAACAAAGACATTCATCACTGCGAGGGGTTATTGAACGATCTTTCGGAGTGTGGAAGAAGAAATGGGTAATATTGCGTGATATGCCCACTTATCCGTTTCCAAAACAGGTCCAGATTGTAGTGGCTACCATGACATTGCACAACTTCATTAGACGACATCCTTCAAGAACTGATGCATAATTTGCTGTGGTTGATGCGGACTTAATGCAAATTCCCTTGAAGCATTCGAGTATCATGTTGGCCGCACCATACCACAACTTACAATTGATTCACTTGAGACAAACACAAGAGATGGTGAATGGGCATATGAAATGACAGCTTTGAGAGATGGAATAGCTGACGAGATTAGTGAAAATTTTAATTAATTTATTCTTAACCTTTACAAAATAATTATGTTATTATTTTGGCTGTACATCATTTGTTTAACTTATTATATGGTCGCTATGACATTAACTTTGATAAGGGAGAATTTTTTTATCTGTTTTTTCTTCAATAGAAACTATTATGTTGCTGAGAAAAAAACTTCGATTCATGGCGAGTGAAAGATGTAAATGCAATAATTTTAGTTTTAATTTCAATGCTCATTCTAATTATATTATATTCTATATGCATTGCAATGAGGAAACTGATTTATTATGCATTACAAAATCATATAACCTACATGTTCTTCGTTTTTTTATGTATATGAAGCCTTTCTCAAAATTCACTCGTGACTTTCGTGCACAATCATGATTTTGTATTGGAGTCCCTTTGAATCATTAAGCCTAAAATGGTTTATATAACTATGTAGAAGAACTGAAATGAAGTGGAATAAGAATTTGATATGGCAGCATTTGATATTTTTTACAAATGACAGTATTTGATATTTCAATGTTAGTAACATTGCTTTTCTCATAATTTTTTGAAATGACAGCATTTGATATTTCAATTTTAGTAACATTGCTGTTACAAATGACAGTATTTGATATTTTTTGAAGCATTTGGACTGTTTGGAATCTGATTTGGAAGCAACATGGACCATCACTTATAAGCAATTTGTGAGTTCCTGGGGCTTTTTTAAATGGAAGCATCATAGACAGTCACAAATTTTAAATTGAAGCATTTAAAATTTGTAAGCAATCTGTATGTAGCTTGGATGGCCCCATGCTATGTATGTACTTGAATGGCCCCATGCTATGTATGTAGCTTGGATGGCAACCGCTCCTATGGTATGGGGTATGGTTATGTATGGAGCTTTTGTTGATATTGGTGTCTTCCGATGGCCCAAAAACGTGAGTTATGGGTGTATATGTGAGTTCATGGGGCTTTTTCCAATGGAAATGAACATGATAGTGATGCAATATCATGTTCATCACTTCTGCTCTTCTGTCGACCTGTCCCTATTCAAAGCATACATATTGAATGCAAATCTTTGGGTTTTAATGTGTCGTGGCTCTGTTTTGGCCCATTTAGTGGGGTCAAATTTAGGGTCTGTTGGATTCAATGTTGGCTGAAATTTTTTTTCTCTGTTTTCCCTCAGATGGATGGTTTCAATTTTGGTTCTTTTGAAATCAAACTAATGCTGGAAATTTTCTCTGTTTTCCCATATGAATGAGTCAGTTCTGGCTTCATTTTGAAATTGATTTTAGCTGGGCATTTCTGACCTGTTTTGTCTTTCTTGTGGTCTGGATTTGGTCTGAGGATTAAAGTTCGATTTGCCCTTATGCTATAAGCTGTTTTGGCCGAGTGGGAAGGCATGGTTTTGGCCCAGTGTTGTATCATGTTGGTAACAGTTTGATAAAATGGTCTATGAAGTTTCATTTTATTAATGCATAAGAATTGTGTGCTTTGTATGTGACCGTGACTTGCAATGCACAAATCATTTTAAAGTTTGGTTTGCTCTTATGTCTATAAGCTGTGTGGCACTGAAACACTTGGTGAGCATAGGCTTATATGTGATGGTTGTGAAGCAACAGATCAATGATATATATGTTGAATAACTCTGGAGGCCAATTTCATTGCAAATCCAATTTCATTGCAAATTATTCAATCCCATACTCTTATTTGTATCACTCTTCATATTTGGGGCATTCTGCCCTTTCACGTTTCTGTGATTAATGGAGGAAAGCAATTGAGACCTTTGTTTGCAATATTTCTGAAGCTGTAATCTGTTTAGTTTAATTTTATTCATATGTAAATTGGCTTTGAATGATGCTTAGACTTATGAATGATGCAAAGCAATCGGGAAATCACTGCATCACCACGTTAACAATGCAGTACATATCAACGGATCTGCAACGGATCTGCTATCAACGGATCTGCTTTGATGATGGAGCGGTGATAAAATTAACAAATGCATGTAGCCTCTTTATTTAATAATCCCATACAACAAATGCGTGTTGCTCCTTGATGCCGTAATATGAGCTGTTTTTTTTAAGTTTAGTTTATAACTTTCTCTATCACCATTTTTTATCTTACTGTTAATACCTCGGATAAGAGCTGTGTAAATGCATAAGAATTGTGTGGCAAGCTCTGACATAGTGATGTTGCAACATTTCAGTGGTTTTGGTTATTCTTTATATAAAGTTAATCAATTTCGGATATAGGATCACTTGAGGAAGAAGGAATGCTACGTCTTTTAATTTATAGCTGTGAAGCATCATATAGGAAATTGGATAGTTGCATCAGGAACTGTAAATGCATAAGAATTGTGTGATTTTGATTCAGATAAGAATAGTGTAATTGCATAAACTTTTATGAAATGTTGAAGTTGGAGCCAACTTTGTCCAAGCCAAACGGTTTGGATAGATATTTGTTTGTAGAAGTTTTTCTAGCTACTCAACATGTCACCTATAATACTTTTGATTGTACTAGCAGTCATTATTCAAATTTCTGTCTTTCTCCCTCTCTCGAGAAGAATATAGTTGCTCATTACCATGCTCTCAATTGATAACCACTATCTCTCATGTAAGGTAGCTGAAAGAAGGATTCGCTCATTACCATGCACCCATTAAAGTGTTTTTTTGAAGTTGTTGTATTCAAATATTTTTATAAGGAAGTAATAGTTATGTTTTCCTTTTTTTATAATAGTTAATAATAATATATCCTTACCATGCAGATATAAGGTGGTATGAATGTAAAAATATGTATCTTGGATGGCCAAATATATCCTTACCATGCATATAAAAAGCTTTAATATATCCTTACCATGCATGTTCGAAGTTGTTGTATGCATATATAAGGTGCTATGTACGGTAATGAGCAATGGTTGCTCATTACCATGCACCCATTAAAGTTACTGTAGGTTGTTGGTGGCTTTAACCCCAGCTCTGAATGACTTGTAAACCATAGACTCGTAGTGTTGGATACTGAAAATCCAGAAATCATAATGCTACAAAAGCACCACACAATAATGTAGCACCTTGGATGACCAAAGAACTTTGTTGCAACCATTGGTTCCACAATTTGGTATGTTGAGTTTTTTTTGTTATTCCCTCTAGTTTTTTACGGATCAAAACTTTTTATAATAATTGCAGGATAATGAGCTCGAGATATTCAGGGAAGTCAGGGCAAATGATGTGCCGATGTGGGCTAC